AATGAAATAAACGCAAAATTTACTTAACCACAAACTAGTGAGAAATCGAAAACAAAGTTAGGGTTTTTTACCTCTTTTGAACTCAACTCTTGAAAGCGTAACTCGGGAATTAAGTGTCCTCCGTTTACAACCACCGATCACAACACAACTGAACAAACCCTTGACAAATCGACCCCTGAATCGCAGAAATATGTGCGTACTACGAGCGCAATGAAGTAGAAATTTTTCAAATTTTTTTTTTAGCGAAAGAAATGAAGGGTCAAAAGTACGAAATTCACTATTTTATACTGTCCAAATGAAGCGGTTGATGTGACATTTACTGCATGCAATCCAACGGCTGTAATAAAACGCCTTTTCAAAAACACCCTACTTTGATGACTGACACGTGCCCCATTATTTTATTAAGTTTCCCGCCAAATCCTGGGGGCAAAATTCAAATAAAGTGAAACCATATTCACTAATATTTTCGGTTTTAGTTTAAATTGAGCAAAGTCCTATCGGCAAATTTGCTCACTTGGGGGGCAAATCGTAGATTTTCTTCGTCTTACATTGACCAAAGTCCTATCGGCAAATTTGCTCACTTGGGGGGCAAATCGTAGATTTTCTTCGTCTTACATTGAGCACAGTCCTATCGTCAATTTGCTCACTTAAGGGCCAAAATCGTGGATCTTTTCGTTTTCTAATCATTCTTGTATGGTATATTGTGTACCAGCACCGTGTTCGATTGCAAGTGAGCACGTCAGTTTTACTAACGTCCTCACTTGGGGGGCTAGTTGTACGGGATATACCGGTAGAATTTACAATATGCCGGTAAAAGAGTGTCGTGCAGTTTAAAGCCCTCGTTAATCATTGAATAATTCATGTCCTTACCGGCATCAGTCTCTGTCACTTGGAGAGCTGCTTCTCGGAACGTGGCATGTCCCTCTGACACGTGGAGAGCTGTTTGGTGCCGCGTAGGCACCTGCTATTTACAAGGTCGGTGTGCCACCTATCTGTATAGGTGGCACCTGCTTGGTTGTGTTTCTATAAATACCCAAGCAAATCCTCACTTCAGGGGTAGAATCTCTCTCTCTCTCTCAAAAACACTTTCTCTCTCTTCTTTCACTTTCTTCTCACAAAGGTACTGACTTTAACATCGGAGAGGTTATTCCCGGATAACCCCCGGGTTAGCTATTCTGTATTGGCTGTGTAGGTGAGCAATTGGACGGTAAACCATTACCAGCCCTCGGACATCAACGGAAGCAGAAATCAGCAGGAACACAAGTATATTTTAAAACATGTACTTATTAAAAGATAACAGATATATAAATTGTAATAACAAGAGATTCATATCAAAATAATACGAGTATAAATTTTATAAACTTATAGTGAAATTGCCAAAATTAGTCATTTTTGCCTTTTCCAATAATGAAAAATTTCTTGACTTAATAATAAAAAACAAAAAGAAAAGAAAACTGGCACAGGAAAGTTCCGTGAAAGCCAACAATTGAAGACTTAATAACTGGTCAACAGTATAGAATGAACGTATATACTAGTATACTATATGGAAGCAGTAAAGAATGAACATAGAAATTAGATTTGTTCTCACCCTATTTATTTATTTATTTATTTATAAGGATGTATTGCCAATCTGCCATATTGGTAACTTCACCACCCCACCTAATATTTTTTTTTTTCCTTTTAAACGTAATAATTAATGGTAATTTTATAAATGACATTCATGATTTTGACTTTATTGCTTTCCTTATTTGAATAATTCTATTTGGGCATGAAACACGCTACCTATATTGATCAATGTTACTTCTAAAGAAATTTCCTTTTTTTTTCATTTTTGTAGTTGGGAAGTAGGAGAAATCATATCAATGTAATTATAGTTATATAGTTTTGTCAAAGTTTATTTGTTTTAACCATTTACGTCATCAATGACAAATTGAGGACTATAATTGTATAATTTATCATATTTATTTATTATTCCTTATTTTATAAGGACTATTAGTTTTGAGTTCAAATATTATTATACCAGATATTACTTTGAACTCTCTCAAAAAAAAAAAAAAAAATTACTTTGAACACTCTAATTAACTCAAAACTTGTATAGTAATACTTGTATGTGCTAGCTAAAGTCATGATTTATTTGGAACTAAATTCCCAGTTGTAAATACGTGTTTTATTTATTTATTTATTTTTTTACAATCAAAATATGTGGTGTTGGTTATTACAAATTGTGTGTTTAATTACTAGTTTAAGTGTTGTTTGGCAAACACTTACTATTTGTAGTAAAATCAATTGTAAGAGTTTAGTTGTGCAACTAATTTTTTTCATGAATTGATTATCAACTACCTAGTGAAATTGTTAGCGTGAGGCGTGACATACTAGCATCTAGAATTTTGACTACAAATAAACCATTTATTATAGGTGGTAACAATTAATGAATAATCTAATTTAAATCAAAATTAATGAACTAGAGTTGATCACACGATCACATGACAATGAAGAGTGGAAAAGTTGAAAAAAGGGATCACAAACTCATGAATAATACGATTATATGAATGGTCTATATGACCATTTGATTTAATAGAGAAGTTTATCTTCACGGTTAACAAAAAAAAAATGTTGATCTAGTAATATTTTTATAATTAAATCAACAACTTTTATTAAAATCGGGTACCATATATATTGATTTATTTACGAAAATAATAACCTGACTGAGATATTTTGTTGAGTTAGTTACAGAAATGCCACTAGATAAATGACTTTTATTTATTATTATAAAGATAAACTAAGATTTTCTCGATTAAATATTGGGTGATGACTTTAGGAGATCCATAAATTAAATGCAGCGTCCGGAAGTATAGTATGACATATGAAGATGACATGAGCATCATGCATTCATATTCAATATTCATGCCTTCGTTTGTAACCAAGAAATAGTTTTGTTTTACAAAGTGGATGGATGAATTGAACAACATAATGCTTGGTCAGAAGAAAACGACTTTTGGAAGCTTCTTCAAAGAAGAAAGATCCCGTTTTTCTCAAGGTCTTGCAATTAATTGGAGTTATTTTCATGACTTTCGCTTCTTCTTTTTCACGAGGGGTTATAAAGGGATAACACCGTGTAAGGTTTTGTTGCATAACAAGAGCTTTTAATCACACACAATATTATTCTACTACCACAACTTATCCCTATTTTAGTTCGCCTTATTTTTTACTTATTTAAGAAATAATAAGTTCAGATTAAAAAATAAGGTCAGATCAAATCATTGTTTTATGTGCAGTCTTTTATCGCTGAATATCTTTGATTTCGTAATGAAAAAAATTATGAAAATCATATGTTAATAAAATACACATTATTACGAAACTAGCAAGACCCCACTTGATATATTTTTTCGTATAGATTATTGTATATTTAAGGTCAAAGTTTAGTCAAATCAGACATTCAGTTCAGACCAGACTGGACTAGATCAGATCATATCAAATCAGCAAAAATAAGATGAACCAAACAAGCCCTTAGGGTCTGTTCTCATTTACTGAACTCAGCTGAACTGAACCAAACTGAGCTGAACTGAACTGAAATGAATATTTTATAAGAGAAGGAAATTAGGAGCTGAACTGAACTGAACTGAAATTAATATTTTATAAGAGAAGGAAATTAGGAGCTAAACTGAACTGAACTGAGCTAAGCTAAACTGAGTTGAACTGAACAAAACTGAGTTGAGCTGAACTGAAATTCAACGTAAGAGAACAGACCCTTAGTAGTACCAGTATCGTTTATTTTTCTTGATCCCTATATTTACAAGTTACTCCGTATAGATTACTCTTATACTAAGTATACCATCCTCCTACTAATTAGTTTGTTTGTTTTATCATAAGACGTTTACTCGTAGTTCTTCTCTTGCTTGCAAAGGAAGATGTGAGTAGTCAGTACAAACTCCAAATGAAGAAGAAAAAGTGGTGCTCATTCATTGTATAAGATGTGAATTTAATGAAAACAATTCCATACAACAAGCACCAGTGGTCTAGTGGTAGAATAGTACCCTGCCACAGTATGAAAAAATTTTCCTTTAAAAAGGGAAGTCACATTTTCCTCTCTCCTCCTTACCTCTTTTTTTACTTCCCTCTCATTCATCCTTACATTTTCATTCTTATTTTTTATTTTTCTTGGACTTTTCTTGTATGATGTAAAAGGTTTTCATAGAAAATAAATTTTCCAATTTTTTCCCATTTTCCTTTGTTTGGTTTGTTAAGGAAGGGAAAACAATTTTTCAAGGGTGAAAAATTCCATACTTTAATGATGGAAAAATTTTCCTTCCAAAAACAAGGGAAGCCGCATTTTCCTCTCTCCTCCTTACCTCTTTTTTTACTTCCCTCTCATTCATCCTTACATTTTCATTCTTATTTTTTATTTTTCTTGGACTTTTCTTGTATGATGTAAAAGGTTTTCATAGAAAATAAATTTTCCAATTTTTTCTCATTTTCCTTTGTTTGGTTTGTTAAGGAAGGGAAAACAATTTTTCAAGGGTGAAAAATTCCATACTTTAATGATGGAAAAATTTTCCTTCCAAAAACAAGGGAAGCCGCATTTTCCTCTCTCCTCCTTACCTCTTTTTTTACTTCCCTCTCATTCATCCTTACATTTCCACTCTTATTTTTTATTTTTCTTGGACTTTTCTTGTATGCAACCAAACAAAGGAAAACTAATTTGCAATTGTGTTTTTCCTTGAAAATGTTTTACATTAAACCAAACGGGGCATTAGGGTCTGCCACCATCTTCTGATATTCCAGAAGAAACTTAGTGTGCATCTGAGCTACCTTTTTTGCTCGACTAAACCTCATATTGTGCCTGTTCTTCGTTCACGAAATGAAGGCACTCAAAGTTCCGGAGCAGCTGAGCTTCCTTTTTTGCTCAACTAAAGTACTAAACCTCATACTCCAAGTTCCGGAACAAAAGCAAAAAAGGATACATAGTACTGTATGAAGTATTTGTAAAGGCAGTAACGGGGTTCACCAAATCAATACTTGCATAAAACCCAGATCACATAAACTTGTTCAACACCATCCCAAAACAGTAAGCTCATATGCTCAATAGTACATGACTAATAGGTAGGGAAATCCTCTTGAGAATACATACTACGCTACACCTAAGAACCCAGCCGCTTAATATAAAATGTTTCCAGACTGCAAACTCTAACCTCCTACATTAACGAAGTTACGAAGATACAAGTCATACAACAACAAACACAGCTGAATAACATGCTTTTATGCGTGCAGTCAACTTCTTTATACGCACGCCTCAAAGGCTCCGTTTTCTTCATCAAGCATTTGGACGACCTGGGCAACACCTTCTGCAATTTCCTTTTGGATGGTACCACTAGGCATGTCGAAGGTCCTTCGCCTCATGGAAAGTGATTTCCCATCAGACTGGGGTTCCACCACATCAAGCATTGCCTCCAGCTCATCAACCATTGACCTCTTTGCAGCTCTCACCATCACATCAACTCCCTGAGCATTGTAAAAAAGATAGGTTATTTCTTATTTACCCCCTACATTGAATGTAGATAAGATAAAAGGATAGACATGTCGAATTCAATCAGAACTCAGGATGATTTCTGACTTGGTTTTTGGGGGTACAGAATCATTTTTGAAACCTAAATTTCCATAATAGTATCAAGTTGGTTCAAAGATATCCATTTTTTCATAGCACAAGACTCTATATCAAATGAAAATCAGTTTCTGGATATATAATCACCTTATTACCTTCAAACTAAATTTTTGGATTGGTCTGGTTAGATATTCAGATTAGGTGGAGGCAGATTTACATGAAGGTAAAAGATTTAACCATCCAAGGTACTACGACTACGAGTGAAACAAGTTCTCACCTCGATAGCATCCACAGTGAGGAGCAAAACGATAATTTTCTCCGAGAACTTCTGACGCTCCTCAGCATCACGGGAAACACGGCTACGGTAGGAGAAGTTGTGGAACATAGCCCTGAGTTCCTTCAACTTGGTTTTTGCAATTGCCAGCTCACGAAGGGCACGAAGGGCCTGAGATCTACGAATAAGATAAGCCCTGAAGCTATACTGGATCAAAGCTGCAGCATCCATGGGTGATAGTTCTTTCTTTTTCCCCTTGCTATTGGAAGCTCTTTTGGCAAATGCCTGACACCAATACAACAAAAGTATAAGATTTCCAAATTCCAATAAAAAGAACTAGCACCATGTTTAAGGAAAGAGGTCCTAAATTTAAGAACAAATGATAATAAAAACAGCAAAACAGAACATGAGACTAGCAATGAGTAAATAATAACACTCAAGGATTTTAAATTAGTACTTCATTTGAGATTTCTACAATAACGTAGGATCTGTCACCATGAGAACACCAGGAGCTGGACACCTACAGAGCATATATATGATTGTTTACCAGTCCTTTATATTCAGATTACTTTTCCTGAGGTGGATTCACTGACCCATGTGATATGACTGATATCCATACATTCCATAGCAGTAATATGCATGTACCAAATACTCCAAGGTGATTACAACTCAAGCTCAAAAAGAGCTACTAGCTCCGTTTATTTTTATGTGCAACTTTGGAATATTTTATATCTCACAAATAATACCCCCAAAGTTGCACATAAAAATTAACAGAGGTAGTATTATTGAATTTGTGAAGACATTAACTTACATTGAATAGTTTGTCAAACCAACATCAGAAAATTTTTTGTTAGCTGGTATCGCATATACTAACAGTAGAAACACCTTCCTTTCGATGCTTTATGAAGCTACTTATGCAAAATTTACACAATTTCTAGAAAATTGGAAAGGAAGAGTTAAACGAAAATCTCAAATTGACCAGAGGACCTAAAGTCGCTATCTCATTTTGAATCACTGGGATAAATCAGCCCTAACCACAAGAAAATGCATTGGGAGGTATAAAATATATTGGAGAATTGGAGGAATGGAAATCACTGCTTATAAGTTCTTCCATTTCCATACAATAACTTTCGTTTCTCCCTTGAAACCAACTTCTCATCTATACTCATTTACCATCTATGTTACTTGGACTCGGGTACCCATGTCTGGCACGAATACGTGTCAGACCCGGTTATTTTGTGAAAAATATCCATGATTTTGAACTAAAATGAAGTGTCCAAGTGTCCCACACATATCCGAGTGTCGAGGGTCCGACAATGAAGAGTCTGAGTAACATAGTTTACCATAGTAGTTCACATGATTTCACCAATGTTCTGCATCAATGATTAGAGGTAGGTCTCTTTCCTAGTCCAAACTCTCATTTTCCAAAAATAAGTATTAACTACTCAAAAAGCCGACATACACAACGAATCAATCAAAACCCTACACAATCCTCTAACACTATCATATTCTTGTGAGATCAACATCCCTATTAGATCAATCATTTTTACAGCATTGCAGTCTACATATACCACCTCTTAAGATCTTCTAACACCTCAAAAACCAGTTCACATACCACAATATCTTATCTACGATTCGAAGTTCATCACTTTCAATCTCAGTGATCACCATATCAACACAACAAAAACGGGTATATCTACCTTACATGGCCTAGTAATTCACCTTAGGTTTACCCAACAATATTATTCATCAAATCATCAACAACAACCCATCAAAATACTTCAAAATCATATATTATACAGCATTTCAAAATACCAATTAATAAAATCAAATAATTTACTCAGTTTACAACATCATAACTTCAATTAAACCAATTAAACACAAAATGTATATACAAAAGAACAATAAATCATACCTGACGTAAAACTACAGCTCTTTGATCAGGTGATTCTTCGATCTCAACAATGCGCGTAGCAGAGGATCCCTTCTCACCACCATTCTTCTTCTTCTTCTCAATCTCTTTCTTCTTCTTATCACCACCAATAGTAGCCTTCCACGTGTAAACCCTCTTATCATCTTCCTTCCCTTTAATCTCAGTCATCCATTGATACTTTCTCTCTCCTCTCTTCCCTTTCTTGACATCATCCCCTTCAATCTCCGCCGTCCACTTGTACTTCTTCTCAACATCCCCTTTAATCTCAGCCGTAAACGAGTACTTCCTATCCAAGTGTTTCAACTCCTGCTTCTTCTTCTTCTCCTTCTCCTCCTTCTCCTTCAACAGCAGAAGTCGGTCGAACTTCGACTCGAGCGAGCTGACTCGGTCGGAGATCTTCTTCAGGTACGACTCGGACGAGTCAAATCGGCGAATGACTCGTTTGAAGGACGAGCAAAATGGGGTTGATTCGATCTGGATTAGATCGGAGATTGAGTCAAATGGGGTTGGGAAAATGAGTTCTTCATCTTCTTCGAAGGGAATTGGAGGAGGGAAAAAGGGGTTTAAGGAGAGAGATTTTGGGGGGAAAATGGTGGTTTCAGTGATGAAAAATGGGGATGATTGTTGGATGATTTCGAAATTTTTGTAGCTCATTTTTTGTTTTTTCCAGAATTTTTGTTCAGAGGATGAAGAAGTAGGAGAGAGAAAATGAAAGATGAAGATAAATGAAGAATTGATGATGATTGAAAGGGAAATGTAGCGATTAATTATGAGGGGAATTGAATAGGAATTAGAAAGAGTGAAGGGTAATTTGGGAATTCCACACTTGTTAACGAGGATGTCACGGCCAATTGATTGCGGGTTTTTAAAGAATTAAAAAAAAAAAAAAAGTTTAATACTTTGTACTCTCTTCGTCTTAAATTACTTGTCGCACAAAGAGTATACTCGTACACCTTATGTTGTATTTGATTGATTGTAACAATTGTATGTGAGATAACATGGCTAATGCCTAATAATGGTAGTGTTTTGTACTTTGGTATTAGTCATTGGTCTTTAGCTAAATTGAATGTACGTGATTAAGAGATATTTTCGAGCAAAGCCTCCCAAACGATTAAAAATGGTATCAAGGATAAAAATGGACATGGGTCATGATGGCTTCAGCCTTCATAAAATTGGGGTTAGCTGGGCTCATGCCACAAGCTACATCGCCTACATGTTGTCAAAATGTCAAGTATCAAATGTTTCTAAATATCGGTTCAAGCTCATGTACCACAAATTCACAATCCACAACATCTTATTATCATGATATGTTTGCATGGTTATTGTTCAAGTCACATTTCACATATTTTATATGGTTCTCTTATATTGTATTGTGTTTGATCATGCAACCTCATGTTTCTTTCAAATAAAGTCTTTTTAATACAACATGTAAAATATTATTGAGTACATCATATTATATTTTTTCCAAAATAACACGAATTAGTGTCAATAATAAGCGAATTTTCACTCTTAAACTCACAAGTCACAAACTCATTTTCCGTACATTCTTTATCATTGCACCGTATACTATTAGAAAATTTGGCTTCTTTTTGAGTAAAGGAGATTCCTTTTCTTAATTTCTTTCTGCCTACTTTCCTGTTTTGCCCTTTAAGAAATTTAAAAGCTACATTTTCACATGTATAATTTTGGACGGTTGTGATGGAGTTGATGGGAACCAAGTGTGGGCCACGTGGGTATATCCGACAAATAATAGTTGTCTAAGTGGGGCCCTTTAATCTAATTTTATTTGAATTTAATATCCAATTCATACCTCTTTTATAAGTATAGTTGTGTTAATGTTTCTCTCTCATCATTAGGTGGGGGATGTCTGATGTTTTGCTTGGTTTACGTCTTCCTATTCCTTTGACTCATCCTTAATTTCCAACTTCATTATTTGTGGATTTAATTTGTGAGGTTATCTTTGATTGGTTTAGTTTATTTAATTGATACTTCGCTACGCCACTCCACTAATCCACTCTACTCTTAAAGTCTTCATGTTATGATTGTTATTTATCCAGGGGCGAAGCCAGGATTTTAAAGATTTAGGGACCGACTAACACTTTAATAAAAATAAAATAAAATAAAATTAATGTGAACATGGTTGGATACTCTAATTGTACGGAAAAAAAAATTCATTCAATCTTTTTTTAAACCATGCATTCTACTAAAATATATACGAAGTATTTGTTAGATTATTTTGTATGAGATATCCTACATATCACAATTATCAAAATAATAACATACATATCAATCTTGATGATATACAAACAACTTCCTCTATTCTTCTTGCATATATGCCTAGATTTATTAAGACAAGCTTCATAATATATTTCGTTAACTATCACTATATCTAATTAAGTATAAACATTACCCAAAAAAAAAAAAACATACGAAGTATTAATAAATTCAGATGAATATAATAAGATAATTTTTAATTATAACGTATCTTATATATAAATAGGAAATGACAAACAAAGTAGCTTAGGTGAATAAGGGTGAAAAAATTAAATGGATCATCTAAAAAAGTTTAGTAATGAGTAAACTAATCCTAGTATTTAATCCTTAAACCTTAGCAATTAACATAAAGAAGAATTTTACAAATTATTTTAAAAAATTAAGAAACTAAAATAAAATTACTGATTGAGTAGTGAAACAAATCAACAATGACGAAGCCATCAGTTTGGGATTTGAAAAAGAAAAAAAAAACTAGTCTTGTTAGTTAGGAGGCTTGATCCTAGGACCTTAAACACCAATCAATGAGATTCAAACCACTATGGCAAGCCTTTAATATATGAAAATAAGTAACATGAATATTATTTATTCTAAATATTTATAGGGGCCAGAGTTAAAATAATAAACCACGAAATTGGGCCATGGGGGGTCGGGCCTCCACCCGCCCCCCACGTAGCTTCGCCCTTGTATCTATCCTCACTCGACTACCCCGGTTTACAATTTATACAGATTATTGATCTGGTTATTGAGGAGGGTAGCGCAATGATAATAAGATCACGGCCAAATTTAAAGGACCCCTTAATGGACGAGGTTTTCAACAAATAAGGTTTAATTGGATAGAGTCGATATGGGGCTAATTGGCAAAAGTCGCAAAAGATATGAAAGAGAGGTATTATTTATGACTTTGTCCAATATTTATTTTAATTATATCGACCAGCTATTGACCCCTTAGAATATACTCATAACATATAATGCAATTCCACTCTTGCTGTTAGATTTATACGAGTTGCCTATCTTAGGACTCATAACCTTGATTGACAGTTGACACTAAGCTACTTCACTCTTGTTGTTAGATTTATCTCCAAACAACTCTATGCCTTGATATATCTTGGTGTATATAACAAATTCTACTCCATTTCATGGTTAATGTCCAAAAATAAATTATGCTTTATTATTTATATGCACCTACTTAAGCTTTGGCTTGATTAAAAATGTTTGAATTTATCTGGATTTTTTTAGCTTATTTTGCGAGTGTGTCATTGTTTATGTTCAATGTAAAATTATTCATTATGTCTTGAGTTATTTTGGTTGAACTTATAATACTTCATTTCATTAAGACTATTTTAAATTAATACTCCTATTAGTTAACAAATCTAAAATTCAGGCCATCACATTATCATAACTGATTTTACCAATTTCTATTCTAATTTAACTTAACCTCAATTGATTCAATTTTTGTATAATGTAACTTCTGTCTGACCTCAAATATAATACAAAATTTTCATTTACTTATTAATAAGTAAACGATAGAGGACGAAGATTAAATTTTGTATTATGTAATGATAAGGTTTGGAGACATAGGTGAGGAAAACTGAGACCAACTTTCAATAACGCAAATTAATCCTCAACACGTTAGCAAGCTAAGCGCACACGTTTAGGGTTGCAACCTCGACTTCTAATTGCTTGTCTAGGCTCTTATCTAAGCTATGTTCCAATTTTGCTAAAATAAACCCTATTAGATTAAATATGCATCCAATCTCAAAAAAGAAAAATTTCCAATTGCAACCATTTAAAATTAGTATTTTGCAAATTGCTGCCATTTTTAAAAAAATTACAAGTTGCAGCTCAAAAGTACTAATAAATTGTAAATTGCAACACAATTCAATTATTTCATCGATTTAATTGTCGAAAATATTCGGTTAAGGTTTTATCGGCCATTTTAGCCCTTATGATGTAAATGAGCTTAAAATTGGCAAAAAAAATTAATTTAAGAGTCTCATTTTCATGGTAAAATTTAGTTGCACACAAGTCGATACATTTTTTATATGCAAAACGAGGCACTTACGTTATTACTTTGCAAATTTTGAGTTCAATTTGGGTCCTTAAAAACTAAAATGTTCCCTAAAACCGAACATTTTTCAACACGCAAATAAATGAAAATTTTTTACCGAATTGCAATCTGCAATTTATTACTAGTACTTTTGGCCGGCAATTTGCAATTTTTTTTTTTATTAAATGACTGTAATTTATAAAATACGGTTGTGCTATAATTGACAAATTTTCTCAAAAAATATACCAATTGTCTTTTTTTTTTTGAAAAGAATTGTCTTACATGAATTGTAAAGTTGTAACCTGTTAAACTAATTAGACAAAAAAAAAAAAAAAAAAAAAAGCTAATTAGACAAAAAAATAAATAAACAAAAAAATACCACAGTATTACGTAAAGTTTTACCCCCCAAAATCAAGAAAGTGAATCTAATAGAGGATGCAAAACAACTTTGTAGCGATTGAAAGAAATCATCGAGGTCCCATCTTTTTTTCTGCAATTAGAAATTTAAAATTATTCTTCTTCTTTTCTTGCTGTAATAATCTCTCTTATGTCATAGGTTGGTCATAAAATACAAAGAAAACCCAGTTAATTTTGCAACATGCTCAAAAAATTCATTAACGTTCAACCTTCTGAGCTCAAATTCCCATGTAAGTTCCTCCATTTTCTCTCTTCTTAAACTTTTCTTTCTCTTTTTTTTATCCTTTTGTAGTCAATCTTATTAACTTACATTGTTCTTGTGTTATTCTGCATTGCAAATTTATTGGGGTTTTCCAGTTCAATTGAATAAGTTGAGCATAGTTTGGGTTGAATTAACCAACAAAATCGATCATGATGTTGTCTTTAAGGTACCCTTTTCGTTAAATTTAAGAACTTTTTGTTAAATTCTGTGTTTGTGTTGTTAAATTTATTGGGGTTTTGTGAAATTTCAAGGTTAAAACAACACATCCCAAAAAATTTTGTGTTCGCCCCAATGTGGGTTTGATATCTCCTGGCTCAACCTGTGTTGTTAAAGGTAAATTTTCTGTTATGGGTTAATTTATGCAAATTTTGGGTTGTTGGTTGAATATGTTGATTAATTAGAGTGTTATGTATATTATACACCCAAGTGTACATAGCTCTTAGGTACACCCAAGGCTATGAGCACGCTTTTGCTCGACTCTAGGTACACTCGGGTGTATAATGAATTGTGCAAAACATTACAATTTCTCAAGTGTTCAAGTGTAATTCAACAATGTGTCTGTTTTTTAGTTACTTATTTGATGTTGACATTGGGTGTTTTTTAGTTAGTATGCAAGCTCAAAAGGAGTTTCCTGTTGGTTTGCCAAAAGACAAGTTTCTAGTGCAAAGTATGATAGCACCAGTTGGGTTGAGTGCAGAAGCTATAACCTCTGATATGGTATGATAAAATTTTTCTTAGGTTGATGAGTTTTTCATTGAGGAT